ACTCTTTTTTTTTTTTTTTAGCAATTTGAACTTCTAAGTTTTTATCAGAGCTGTTTTATTGGCCCCCCCGAACCTTTTCCTGCCCTATGAATAAGTTTCCCTCTTCCTTCAGTTCTTGGTCCAGTGAAAGAATGCAGTTGCCATCATTAACACAGAATATACTCTCAGTTTTCCAGGTCCAGCTTCACTGAGGTCATTTATTTTAATTCCACGATGAAAGTATGGTAGGAAGTTTGTGACTGTCGTTTGTTAACCAGGGAAACAGTCCATCCTACTTTAAACCATAGCTATCTAAGAAAAAGCGTTCCCAGTCAAGGGCTGGGGAGATGGCTCACAGGGTAAAGATGCTTGTTGTGTCTGAGTTAGGGTTACCATTGCTGTGGAGAAACACCATGACTAAAAGCAAGTTGGGTTTATGTGGCCTACACTTCTACATCACTGTCCATCACTGAAGGAAGTCAGGACAGGAACTCACACAGGGCAGGAACCTGGAGGCAGGAGCTGATGCAGAGGTTATGGAGGGGTGCTGCTTACTAGCTTGGTCCTCATGGCTTGCTCAGCCTGTTTTCTAATAGAACCCAGGACCACCAGCCCAGGGGTGACACCACCCAAAATGGGCTGGGCCCTCTCCCATCAATCACCAACTAAGAAAATGCCCTACCGGCTTGCTTACAGCCCGATCTTACTGAGGCATTTTCTCAACTGAGACTCCCTTCTCTCAGATGACTCTACCCTGTGTGAAGTTGACGTGAAACTATTCAGCACACTGTGTAAGCATGAAGACCTATGTTTGAACCCCCAAGAACCCACATAAAGCCAGGCACAGTAGTATGGGTCTATGGTCTCAGAGCTCCTGGGGTAAGATGGGAAGTGGAAACAGGAGAGTACCTGGAAGGTTGCAGGTCAGCTTACCTGGTGTATGAAAAACAGGGCTGGAAGCTTGCTGGCCAACTTACCTGGTTTATGAGAGAGCCCATCTCAAACAAGGTACAAAGTAAAGACCAGAACTTAATGTTGTCCTCTGAACTCTACATGCTTGACCTGGAACTCATGCATTCTTTTCCCCCATTACACACACACACACACACACACACACACACACACACACACACACACCACACCACACCACACACACACACTAGATAAAGAAAGAAAAAATGCTTCTACTCTTAAGCAGTCAGGATCCATGCTAAGCATGGTGATTCACATTCATAATCCTAGCAATGATGGAGGCTGAGGCAGGGGAATTTTCATGAGTTCAAGACTAGCTTAAGCAGCATAGCTAAGACCTGTCTCAAATAAAAGTAAGTCTTTGCATGTTATTTTTATTCCAAGAAGAAACATGGAATCTGTAAAAAAAAAAAAAAAAAAAGAAGAAGAAAGAAAAAACCTCTCATTAGTATTACAAGACACATGCTTTGTTTTTATTTACTTCCTATGTGAACCATTTCTATTTATCAGGGCTGCTAAAGATTTATTGTCACGAATTCAGAAGAGGTTCCAGAAGCCTCAGGAAAAGCTGAAGGCATTGGAGGCAGCCAGAGACTTCCTTTCAAACCACAGCAAAGAACTACAGGCTGCCAAGGAGCTCCTGAGGGAAGCTGAGAACAGGACCCAGGAGAGCGACCGCCTGCTGCTCCTTGTCAAAGCCAACCTGAGAGAATTCAGCGTGAGTCTCCATGTCTCCTTCCTTCTCAGTTAGGACGGTCCTCGATCCTCGGATAGGCCTGTCTATAAACGGTGCCAGCTTTAGTTTCGAACCAAGGGAGCCTGGCCACTGGCTCCAGCAGGTGGCATTCACTTGGTGCCCACGTCAAGGGCTAGCTTGCTTTCATGATACATCCTTAATTGGTGATTTTTGATGCAGGAGAAAAAGCTGAATGTTCAAGAAGAACAGAACTTGACCTCAAAGCTCATCGCTGAAGGAAGAGAATGGGTAGATTCCGCCACTACTCATATGGATACTGTACAAGACATCCTAACAGTAAGTTACAATTTGGGCTGCCATACCACAGTTTCTAGAGTAGCCGCGCACCTCATTTGTGTGTGCACATGTACTCTAGTAAATAAGTATGCATATATTTACATTTTAATTTCCCCATGTAGCAGCTGGAGCATCACAGAGATGAGCTCCTTTTGTGGACCAGTAAGCTCCGAGGCCACGTAGATGAGCTGGTCATGCAGATGTCCAAACGAAGAGCTCGTGACCTGGTCCACAGAGCTGAGCACCATGCCTCTGAGCTGCAGAGCCTAGCAGGTGTTTTGGACAGGTAAGGCTGCGTAGTTGTCGTAATCCAAGCAGTGTTTGCCAACCCACTGATCAGGGTGAAGGTGGCTTTTTGGGTTACAGCATTGAATCGCTTTTACGCTGTGTTTGTGTGCACATGCATGCATGCACACTCGTGGATGCCTATGCTTGAGTGTGCATGCATATGTAGATGCATGCATACTTAGAGGACAGGCATGGGAAAGCCATAGAGCAATCTTTGATATTGCCCCTCAGAGGCTGTGCACCTATTTTAGAACAGCATCCTGATGACCAGGAATTTACCATGTAGGCTAGGCTAGCTGGCTAGTGAGCTCTGTCTCTCTCAGCCTCCCCAGCACCGGGATTACAAGCCACCATGCTTGTCTTTTTCCCCATGGGCCCTGGGGAGTCGTAGTAAGGTGCTCATGCCTTCAAACCAAGCGTTTTACTGACCGAGTCATCTCCCTGGTGAACTTTTATTGTCATGTAAAAATGAGACTCCTATTTTACCTGTGAGGCTGGTCAGATTCGCTCCTGTGTCTGCCAGCTCACTTTACCATAGGCATGCATATATGATGGGAAAATGCAGACAGCATACTAGGCTACCATGCCAAGCTATCAAGGCTTTCTAAGGACCTACAGTGCTCAAGTGCTTTGTGTGCGAGTTGTACAAGGAGACTGTGTTCTCTGTACATCTTGTGTTCTTGGCTCCATGATTCAGAGGGCAGATGTGGCTGCCCATGCTCTACCTGTAGAAGTGTTGGCAGTCTCTTTGCCAGTGCTGAGAGATATCACATCCCATCCTTATCTACTTCCTGGTGGTCTATGCTTGTAATATGGTTATTTTTTCAAGAGAGAGAGAGAGAGCAGTGTGTGTGTGTGTGTGTGTGTGTGTGTGTGTGTGTGT